GAACCATGGACTTCGTCTCCAGGCATGCGGTGAGCTTCTTCAGGGTGGTCAGAGCCGCCACTTGACACTGATGGAGGGTAGCCTCAGCCTCTAGAGGTAGGCCTGCCAGGAGCTCAACCTGATCTTCTGGAGTGATACCCTCCAGCAAGGCTACATGAACCTGAATCGGGCGGCCATCTCTTGTCCCGTCACCTCCAGGGTGTGTCAATCTTGGTCACGGACAGAAGAGTTGCGTGTCCATGACTGAACCACAGCCATTGCAGCCACTGCCTTGAAGAGGGAGTTGAGAAAGAGCTGTATCATTTGTAAAGGTAAAAAACAAAAACAGAAACAAACAAAAAAACTAAACTAAACTAAAATCTATGGGCCTGGGGTGCCTGGGTGGCTCAGTGGGTTAAGCCTCTGCCTTTGGCTCAGGTCATGATCTCAGTGTCCTGGGATCGAGCCCTGCATCGGGCCCTCTGCTCAGCGGGGAGCCTGCTTCCTTCTCTCTCTCTGCTTGCCTCTCTGCCTACTTGTGATTTCCATCTGTCAAATAAATAAAAAAAATATTTTAATTAAAAAAAACAGCTAAAGCCAACAGAATGATTTCCAAGTTTCCTTAAAAGCGCAGAAGGAAAGTTGAGAAGGAATTAATCCAAACTTTGTTGAATTAAGTATGAATCACACAGATGGACACACAGGGCTCTTGCTAAGTAAGCTGAAGTAGTGACCACTAAAGCAATCTGTCTCCAAGAGGGGGCAAAAATCTACACACTAGAAAATTTGCCCCAGTTTTCAGTGGCAGGTCAGGAAACTACTTTTTATTCCATGTTATTATAAAAGATGTGGCTTTGATAATTTAAAACTCCTCTTATATCCTAATACTTAAGAGCACATTTTGGAAGGCACTTGGATTTGCATTCCAGCTCTATCAGTTTGCTAGCTGTGTGATTTTAGTTTACTTCCATTTTCGAAGTTTCAGTTTCTTCATCTAAAAATGGGTGGGTGCCTGGGTGGTTCAGTTGGTTAGGTGTCTGTCTTTGGCTCAGGTCTTCCCCTGCTGATGCTCTTTCTCTGTCAAAAAAATAAAATCTTTTAAATAAATAAAACATTCAAAATAATGCTTAATCCAATAGAGTTATAGGGAGACTACTTTGCAAAAGGCTGAGTCCCTTCTTTCCTCCCTGTCCTCCTCTCCCTTTTTAGCAAGTGCACTTTTAATTTATTTTTTTAAAAGATTATTTATTTATTTATTTATTTGACAGAGAGGGATCACAAGTAGGAAGAGAGGCAGGCAGAGAGAGAGGAGGAAGCAGGCCCCCAGCCAAGCAGAGAGCCCGACTCGGGACTCCATCCCAGGACCCCAAGATCACGACCCAAGCCGAAGGCAGCAGCTTAACCCACTGAGCCACCCAGGCTCCCCATATTTATTTATTTTAAAAAGAGTTTACTTACTTATTTGCTGTCAGAGAGTGAGCAAGCGCACAAGCAGGGAGAATGGCAGGCAGAGCAGGCAGAGGGAGAAGCAGGCTCCCTGATGATAAATCAGCCCAATGTGGGACTCGATCCCAGGACCCTGGGATCATGACCTAAGCTGAAGGCAGATGCTTAACCGACTAAGCCACCCTGTGGCTCATACTTTTTTTAAGTTTTTAAAGACGTGTTTATTTTTAGAGAGAAAGAGAGAGAGAGAGAGAGACAAAGAGCATGCTTCAGAGGGGTGGGGCAGAGGAAGAGGTAAGGAGAGAAAATCTCAAGCAGATTCCCCACCAAGAGGGGAGCCTGATGCAAGGTCAATTCACAATCCTGAGATCATGATCTGAGCTGAAATCAAGAGTCAGATGCTTAACTGACTGAGCCACTGAGATTCCCCTCAAGTGCACTTTTAAAATTAAATTGTAAGCCTAAGTAATATGTATTTTTTTTCTTTAGAGAGTAGGGAGGCAACTAGGGAGTTAGGAGAGAGGGAATCTTAAGTAGGCTTCAGGCCCAGTGCTGAGCTTGATCTCACAACCCTGAGATCATGACCTGAGCTGAAATCAAGACTGAGCCACCCTAGTGCCCCTCCTAAATTAATACTTTTTTTAAAAAGAGGCTCAGACATTCTGAAAACAATATGGACAACAATCATCTATAATCTCATTACAGGGAGGGCTATTTTAACAGAAGGCACCCTGTTTGGTGGTGTTTTTTTCTAAAGATTTTATTTATTTATTTATTTGACAGAAAGAGAGATCACAAGTAGGCAGAGAGGCAGGCAGAGAGAGAGGGGGAAGAGGTTCCCCACTGAGCAGAGAGTCCGATGTGGGGCTCGATCCCCGCACCCTGGGATCATGAACTGAGCCGAAGGCAGAGGCTTTAACACACTGAGCCACCCCGGTGCCCCTGTTGTTTTTGTTTTTATCACATTACAAATTTGGAAGTTTTTTATTTTTCAAAGCTAATATTATTAAAATATCTTACCAAATACTAAAGAATTAGAAATATTTTTGTTTTGGTTTACTTGTTGTATTTGAACTTTCCATGATACTTATGGCTTAGTTTATACAAGTTGTACTTAGTTAAGCATAACTATTTGAGTTATGAAACACAAAAATTTTATTAACACCTCAATGGAAGAAAAAATAGTATGGAAACTAATATAGTAACACATGCTCCCAGGACATGTTACATTAAAAATAGAAAAATGGATACATACCAAAATATTCTTTACTTTTACCCATTATCAAAGTAAAAACTTTTGAGAATATTCTATAGCCACTTACTACATAGCAAGTGACACAAAGCGGTTGATATACGGTATTATGAGAACTTGTAAAAAGTGAGTTTTGTAATATTCCTAAATATGTAGTGAGATGGCGGCATAGGTAGTTCTTGTGGATTCCCAGTGTACAATCAAATAACAAACTTCCAGATAAGGCTGAGGGCTTTTCTGCAGAGCAGTTGACAGGGACCAGCCTCAAGCCAACCTCACCACCACTTACTGAGACTCCTTGGAATCCAATTATGATTTTATAGTAGGATGAGAGCTTAGATGTAAAAAGATGCCACAGCTAGTATCCAATGTTCTTTCCACGAACATTCTGGCGGGGTGGAAGGCAAGAATGGAAAATGGGATACAGACCTAGGGTTTACAGAATGAGGTCATTTTGGGAAGTGAGAACAAAGAGAAGAAACAAAGCCTGGAATGCGACTTCAATATGCTAAAATAAGGTTCTTCTTACTGAATTAGAATTACTCATTTTTTCCCTTTGCTTCAGGCTCTAACATGGCTAGGTTGATCCTGTCTTTATTTAAAAAATTGATATTTTGTTCATCATGCATTTTTTTTTGGGTGTTTTTATTTTTCTCAAAAATGTTGTTAAACCATTACTTGTTTAGTGAGGTTTTGAGCACGCCCTTAAATTTTGTGTCCACATATTCTAGTCCTGGCTCTGGGAAGGAATAAAAATAGTGCAAAAACAGAACCAAAGACTGCACTGATTTCAGAGTTTGGAAGGAACTAAGCCAAGAGGGAAGGATCAATTCTTATTTGGTCCACGTGTTGCCATCTGCTCCACTTCCCTGACTCACCTCATGGCCCCAAATTGGGGTGGCACCATTACTTCTGATCCCCTTAAGCATCTTGATTAAACTATGTAACATCTATTTTCCTTTGGGTTCTGAAAATGTTAGCAATTACAAAGAACTTTTAACTGAAACTTTTATAAAAAATAATAAAACAAACATCAAATCATAGGGGAAGTTAAGTTTAAAGTATACATATTTGAGGTCCTCTGGTCTCCCCCTCCATCTCATCAGTGACTAAATTTGGCTCCATTATCATGGATTTGTTCTGGTATGCCACTTCCAGCATACATGTGACTGGTTGTTGAGTTTTTATAGATTTTGAAAGAATTTTTGCCCTTACCCTGGTAATCCTGAATTAAGTAATAAAAAAAGCTCGCAGTGGCAGGGTATGTATCAAGGATCTACAACCTTAAATGCCACAACTGAAAGTAATAAAAAATGAAAATAAAGACAAGTATCAGAAGCATTTTTGCCATGCTGTGCCCAACATTCTGAACATTTCTTATACAAAATGAAGACAACTGGACACTTGGATGTTTATCGAAAACTTATAGTTGTTTGGGCAGATATCTACACCCATTTAATTACAATGATATGGCTAGTTTTTAGCTTTGTGAATGTGAGTCTGTACTGTTGGTTTGTATTCAATAAGACAGTATCTGAACTGTCTTATTGAATACAAACTGAGTTTTTATTTTATTTTATTTATTTATTTGACAGAGATCACAAGTAGGCAGAGAAGCAGGCAGAGAGAGAGGAGGAAGCAGGCTCCCTGATGAGCAGAGAGCCCTATGTGGGGCTTGATCCGAGGACCCTGGGATCATGACCTGAGCCAAAGGCAGAGGCTTTAACCCACTGAGCCATCCAGGCATCCCTGAACTGTATTGTTTTTCTTTTTTTGGTACAAAATATATAAACAAGTATATGTCTTATTTATTTATTTATTTATTTATTTAAAACAAGTACATGTTTTAAACATAAATATAACTGATAACAGCTTCTGTTTCTACTGAAATGCACTTGTGTAAAGGAATTACAATTTAATAGTACCCAATTTAAATGAGGTAATACATTTCATAAAACATCTTTTGTGTTTAAAGTTAATTACAGTGTTTTACAGTACTTTCCATTCCAAAAGATACCATTAATTAACTATGAAAGGGAGACAAACTGTGATTTCAGAATTTCTATCTCAAATTCTTTATAATATACCAATCCCAAACTTTTATTTTTTTTATTAAAGATTTTTATTTATTTATTTGACAGAGATCACAAGTAGGCAGAGAGAGAGGAAGGGAAGCAGGCTCCCCACTGTGCAGAGAGCCTGGGAAGGGGGAGGGGACACGATGGGGATGGACCTTGATCACAGGACCCTGAGATCATGACCTGAGCCGAAGGCAGAGGCTTAACCGACTGAGCCACCCAGGTGCTCCCAAACTTTTATTTTATCAAAATAAGGGTTAACGGTTTATTGTTTCTTCCACTCTACAATGTTTACAAGCAAAATTTCTAATCAAGATTTCATAAATTTCATACCTGGAATCAACTTACAGTAAAATAAAAACTTCATGGCATTGTGCTAACTTTAGTCTTTTAATAAATACAAATTAAGAGTGTATTTAACAACTTGGGAAGACCTCACATTGGGAAGGAAATAAAGCACTGGTTTCTTACAATTACATGATGAGAGACAGATTCAGAAATTAACATCTTAGTATTTCAAACTTTCTTTTATGACTTTATGGGTATTTGTTCAAAATAAAAATACTTTCATAAACATTAAAGCCTATAATATAAAATTGATAGCAATTAATAGCTTCTTAGTTTCACTATATAAATAATCAATGAACCAATTAATGTATCCTTATTCTGTAAAGCCAAACGGTCAAAGCATTTGATTAGAGATTTAGCATTTTTGGAAAAAAAAAATCACTCAAACATATACAAACGTATACAAACATTTTAATACTTGTGGAGAATTATAGAATTATGAAAGAAAAATTTTAATTCTTGTACTAAGACATTAAAAAGTGTTTTTATTTTAACTCCTCTAGGAATAGTAATGTGCAGAAAAAGATGAGAGATTTTTAATATACAAGCAAATAATTGTGCTTCAGACTGGAATTGCTTTTGAATTTGTTATTTTCCCCTCTAAAGAGAAACCAGGAAGAGAATCCTGTAAGACTAATAAACCATCCCAGGTGCTTTCAAATGATTCCTTTTTGTACAGGAACTTCTAAGCAATCACACTATGGTGTGGGTGGGTATCTTTCCTTCATTCCTTTTCTGGTAGACCAGGTACGATTATCTAGAGAAGGTCCACCCTGGGAAGGCAAAGGAGAAAGAAACATAATAAGAAATGCTATCCAGCAGACCAATTTACCCATGCTTAATTTTTTTAAACAGATAATGAGTTATGAAAATTTACCAATGTTTTTCAGTACTGAGAGTTAACTCTCAGTATACTTTGTATTTTCTTACCTTTTAATATAGAAAAAGTACCTCTATTTCTTCAAGTCTGAATTTATGTTATTAAAGAGATTTTTTTCATTGAATTATTTTTCACCTAATCTCTATTTGCTCAGTGACCCACATGAGCAGTCCCAGCTATTTGTCTTAGTATTTTGGATTTTGATTCTTGGTATTTTACTAGCTAAGACAATTTATGTGGAGCAGGTCCACAAAAACATATCAGAACCAGTATCTTTTTTCAAGTAGGCTCCATGCCCAACCTGGAGCTTGAACTCACAAACCCTAAGTCAAGAGTTACACGTCTGGGGTGCCTGGATGGCTCAGCAAGTTAAGTGTCTGCCTTCAGCTCAGGTCATAATATGGGGTTTTGATAGAGCCCAGGATCAGGCTCCTTTCTCAGTGAGAAGTCTGCTTCCTCTCCCTCCACCTGCCACTGCCTCTGCTCCTGCTCTCTTTTTTTCACTGTCAAATAAATAAATAAATAAATAAAATCTAAAAAAAAAAAAAAAAAAAAAAGAGTCAAATGCTCTACTGACTGAACCATTCAGGCACCCCCAGAACCCAGTATCTTAATTTGGGGTATTTTAATAGATAAAATGGTCCCTAGAAATCTTTTAATGTTATGAAGCTATTTAAATTAATACTTAGCAATAACTTTTAAATATATGGTAGGGCAACATGTAACTAATTTTTTAAAAAGAAAAATGGATCTTTTACAGGAAGACAATCATTGGTATCAAGGTTTCCCTAGGCAATTCGTTTTGACCCCCTTGTGAAGACATGAGGCACTCTCTTGGTTCATTTTTGGAAGCTTCCACATCTTTAACATTTCACTTGCCTGACAGTCACAGTGAGGTGTCAACTTTAATGAATAGCAGTAAAAAATGCAGGTATGCCTCTTCTAGAAATCACCTCAGATTGCCTAAATTTGGAACATAAAATGAGATGGGTTTCTTGCTTATCAGATTAGAAAAGATTAAAAACATTGATAGCACCCAGCGTTGGCAAAACTGTGTAGTATAAGCCGCCTTACAACTTGCTATTGGAAATGTAAGGTGGCGTAGCTTTTCTACGGAGCAATTTACTACTAGGTATCCATGTTTAAAACACGCACAGCCTAGAGGCACCTGGCTGGCTTAGTTGGTAGAGTGAACAACTCCTGATTTCCTGGGGATCATGAGTTCAAACCCCACAGTAGGTGTAGAGCTTACTTAAAAGACAAAAAAGTGCAAACCCAGAGGGTTCTTAAATGAGGGTACAAGGATCTCTGTGACCCTTCCTCCTGATGAAACAATCTTAGCTGGTGAAAAAAAAAAATGTTTTTAAGTTAGTTTGTTTGTTTATAATCTCTACACCCCATATAGGGCTCAAACTCACAACCCCGAGATCAAGAGTCATATACTCTTCCGACTGAGTCATTTTCTTTAAAAAAAAAAAATTATTTAAAGGAGTGCCGCTCCTTTAAATAATTAGTTGGCTCAGTTGGTTAAGCATTGAACTCTTTACAGCTCAGGTCCTGATCTAGGGTTTTGAGTTCAAGCCCCACGTTGGGTTCCACATTGAGTATGGAGCCTGCTTTAAAAAAAGGTCTTTGAAGTCTCTGGAAATTGAGGGAATAGAGCAAATGGAAACATTGATTCAAGTGGTATAAATTAAATGTTTGTGTGTCCCCCAAATTCAGGTATTTAAATCAAATTTGCAATGTGATGGTATTTGGAGGTAGGGCCTTTGGGAAGTGAGTAAACTATGAGGTAGAGCCTTCATGGCTGGGATTAATGCCCTTACCAAGTAGAATCCAGAGAGCTCCTTAGTGCCTTCCACCATGTGAGAAGATGGATATCTATGAACCAGCCTCCAGAACTGGGAGAAATACCACCTAGCCTACGGTACTCTGCTATAGCACCCTGAATAGACTAAGACATCAGAAAAATCCACTAATGACAAGAACTGGAAATGGTAAATAAGAAGGCTAATATAATAACTCTATTATAAACATGTATTTCTTCTCCTTCTTTTTCTCAGCCTTAAAGGACCTAAAATTGCAGAAAGTAATGGTTTTAACAAATTTGTATATGTAACATATACAGATGTGTATATAACTAGTGAAATTAAAAAGAAAGAGAATACAGCTATACAGGTATTTCTGTATCTCATGGACTTAAATAATAGCATAATCTGAGGAAGATGCTGATAAATTAGTATACTGTTTAAGTCCTAGAGCAACTGCTAAGAAAGTAAAATATCAGATATACAGTTGACCCTTGAACAACATGGGTTTGAACTACACAGGTCCACTTATACATGGATTCTTTTTTGATATGATTCTATAAATCTATTTTCTATTCCTTATGATTTTAAGATTTTTATTTATTTTTTGAGAGCAAGAGCAGGGAGTGGGGGGGAAAGAACAGAGGCAGAGGGATAAGCAGACTCCGAGCTGAGTGTGGATCCAGAAGTGGGTCTCAATCTCACAATCCACGAGGTCATCACCTAAACCAACAGACATCAAGAGCCAGATGCTCAACCACCTGAGCCACCCAGGTGCCCCTTATGATTTTCTTAGTAACATCTCTTTTTATCTAGCTTACTTTACTGTAAGGACACAATATGAAATTCCAGGTTGTTCAAGTGTCAACTGTATATCCAACTATATCAATAATAACATTAAATGTGAATTTGGGTAACTTGGCTGGCTCAGTCAGGAGAGCATGCGATTTTTTGATCTCAGGGTCATGAGTTCAAGCCCCATGCTGGGTATGGAGCCTACTTTAAAAAAAAAAAAAAAAAGGTGCAATCACCGAACAATCCATTCAAAAGGCCGATCTTGTCAGACTGGGTAAAACGAAACAAAACAAACTTAATCTAACTGTATAAAAAACACACATATATTCAAAGGTCACAAATCGGTTAAAAGCATAGAAAAAGATATGCAAACAGCAACCATAAGACAGCTGAAGCAAATATACTAATGTCAGATAAACTCTAAGACCAAAAGTTATTAGAGACAAAGACATTTTATAATGATAAAAGGAGTCAACTGAGGAAGATACAAGAATTATGAAGATATATGCACCTAACAACAGAGACCCCAAAATACATGGAAGCAGAAACTGACCAAATTAAAAGGACAAATAGATGATTCAACAACAGGATGAAGTTAGAAATCAAGAACAAATAAATTTGAAAAATTCACAAATACGTGGGAAGAGACCACACGCTGCTGAACAACCAATGGATCAAATCAGAAATCATAAAGGAAGTAAGCAAATACTCTGAGATGGGGGCTCCTGGGTGGCTCAGTCATTGGGTGTCTACCTTCAGCTCAGGTCATGACCCCAGGGTCCTGGGATCCCTGCTGGGCAGGAAGCCTGCTTCTCCCTCTTCCACTCCCCACACCCGTTCCCCCCCACCCCCGCTTGTGTTCCCTCTCTCACTCTCTCTCTCTGTCAAATAAGTAAGTGAGTAAATAAATAAATACAATCTTGAAAGAAAATACCTTGAGATGAATATGAAAACTTATGGGATGTAGCTAAATAATGCTTAGAAGGAAATTTGTAACTCTAAACATCTGTATCAAAAGAAGACAAAGACAGATCTCTATCAGCAAGGTAACAGTTCACCTTAACACACTAAAAAAAGAACAAATGAAACCTAAAGCAAGCAGAAAAAAGTAAGGATTAAAATAGAAATAAATGACATAGAGAATGGAGAAACTATAACAAAAAAGAACAAACCACAAAGCTGGTCCCTTGAAGAGATCAATAAAACTAATGAACCTTACGTAGACTGACCAAGAATAAAGAAAAATTCAAATTACTAAACTCAGAAATAAAAGCAAAAACATCACTATTGACCTTACAGTAACATTTTTATAAGATTATAAGGAAATATTCTGAAGAACTGTGTACCAAAAAATTGGGTAACTTAGATGAAAGAACAAGTTCCTAAAAAGATACAAGCTACCGGGGCACTTGGGGGGCTCAGTGGGTTAAGGCCTCTGCCTTTGGCTCAGGTCGTGGTCCTGGGGTCCTGGGATTGAGCCCTTCATTGGGCTCTCTGCTCGGCAGGGAGCCTGCTTCCCCCCTCTCTGCCTGCCTCTCTGCCTACTTGTGATCTCTCTCTCTCTGTTAAATAAGCAAAATCTTAAAAAAAAAAAAAAAAAAAAAAAGATACAAGCTACCAAAATTGCTTAAGAAGAAATTTAAACTTTTTTTTTTTTTTCCTGAAGTATGCTTTACACCCAACGTGGGGCTTGAACTCATGACCCCAAGATCAAGAGTTACATGCTCTACTGACTAAGCCAGCCAGGCGCCCCAGAAATAAAAAATCTAATTAGGCACATGACAAATAAAAATGACTGCATTAGCAATTTTAAAAACTTCCCACAAAGAGAAGTCCTATGTATGATTTCACTCATACATGGAATTTAAGAAACAAAACAGATGAATATAGGGGAAGGGAAGGAGAAAAAAAAAAGACAAAAACAGAGAAAAACCCATAAGAGACTCTTAACTATGGGAAACAAACAGGGTTGCTGGAGGGGAGGTTGGCGGGGGGATGGGGTAATTAGGTGATGGGAAAAGCACTTGCAGTACCTAAGGAGGGCACTTGCAGTAATGAGCACTGGGTGTTGTATGCAACCGATGAATCACTGAACTCTACCTCTGAAACTAGTAATACAGTTATGTTAAATTAAACTTAAATAAAAAACTTAAAAAAAAAAAAAGGAAAGAAAAGCCCTAGGCCAGTTGGCTCCACTGGTGAATTTTACCCAATTTTTATTTTTTTCCCCAACCATTTAATATTTCAATGTCACACATGATTTCAATAGAACAAAAAACAAAAAAATGCA